TTCCCTCAACAAACTACAAAAACAGAACTGCAGAGCTAGTGGGCCGCTGATGGTCTGTGAATATTTGGAGAAAGAAGAGTAAGAGAGTGTGTGGTGTGGGATAGCAGGTGGAGGAGAGCACCTCAGAACTATCTTCTGCTGAGGCTTTCCCATAGGATTGTAGAACAGGTACCTTCCCTTTCAATGAGGTGATACTTGACTGAGTACAGGAATTTCATGAAAGGAGCAAGAATGAATAAATCCTGTCCACTGCCTCCAGAAATCTGATATACCTTTGCCTAACAAGATGAATAATCTCATAAACTTTTTTTGTGTCAGTGCCATGAAAGGCTTCAATTTTAAACCACTATGAAGGCCATCCTGTGTTTTCAGCTCCAGCCTATGAGGCGTGGTGTTTGTCCGTGCTGTTTAAGGGCTTGTCCTCCATCCCCACCATCACCTCCCCCTTCCTCAGTGCTAGTTCTCAGTCTAGCACTGCCCTTTGTTTGGCTTTCACAGATACCTACAAAGCAATCTGGTAGACTGGGAAACGCATCTGAACAGCAAATTCACCATTTTTCTCTAGCATTTTTTTTTTTCCGGCCACATCACATCTGCCAGTGCAGTTTACCACATGCTTGCATGAAATTTGGACTGGCCCAAAGGAAAGGGTGACAGGAGTGACGAAAGGTGATGGCTTAAAGTCAGCAGTGCTAAGGAAATAAATGTACATCAGTCCACACCCTTAATGTCACTACCTGATTGTAGTCAGCCACAAAGGCAAAAGTTAGTATGAGCGTATTATTTCTGAACTATTATCCTGACCTATTGCTTCTGTCAATTAAAAAAATAAAAAAATATCCAACTTTCTGTGGAAAAACAAACTGACTTTCAGGCCTTACATACAAACATGTCACAGAAACAGCAACAAATTCACAAGCCCAGCTGTCAACATTTTCTTGAACTCCCCCTCCGAGGAAGCTCGCTGGTGTCCCTCACAATAAGTGGTGAGCTTTTCAGCAGGGTTGAAGTGTGATGATTAAGAGGATTTTGTCAGAGCCATAAGATGTGTTTTACTGACTGTGCCTTCCTCTCAAAGCGCTTTTTGGGAAGAAGGCCCCCTCTTCTACTCTGTAACCAGTGACCACCAATTGGAAGATGTCATTCACATGCCCTTTTCCCTAAGCCCTGAGATAAAATCTCAGTGAAGCACATGCACACAGTCACATACCTTGAGTCACATACCTATCTAGAGTAAATAGACTTTTGGTGTCAGCTAAGGTACAGTGCAAAGAGCAGGCAGAAAATGAAAGACTGTAAATATTAACCATCCTTCTGAGAAGCCTGGAAAGGGTGCATCAAACTATGCAGCACCACAGCATTGGTTCAGTGACTTCTACAAGAAATTTGGTGCTGAGCTAATGAATTTGGAGCACAGCCTGTTGATAGTCAGTTCATAATGAACAATATTCAGCCCCAGTAGTGATGAGATTTCAGCTTCAGCATCAGGACTGAGGAGAAACAAGAAGGGAGAGGTCTCAGCTGCATGCACATACATAGGATATACTTTCCTCTGTTCCTGTCCCAACTCCCTCACCCCACCACAAGCTTTGGACTCTTACACATATACATTTCTCAGTCCCATAGATAGATCAGGTGTCTCATTCCTCAGCAGATTATGCACTAGTATTCAGACAGTCTCTATTCCAGGCATGGGAGAAAAAACAAAACAAAACAAAACAAAACCAAACCAAACCAAACCAAACAAAACAAAACAACTTTTAGCAGGCTCTACAGCAAGTGAAGGAGACTGAAATTTCCCTCCTTTTTCCCCATGCTCCACTTACTCCTCCTGTCCTTCTCTTTGTCTTATTACCTTCCCAGTCTGTCTTTCCCAGCTTCCTGGCCCCGTCTTTCATAAGCCCACAGGTGGAGCTGAAGGGAAGACAGCACAGGACCTCCATGGTTAAAAAGCTTTGTTGCATGTTGGTTATACAGAACTGACACATAAGTGCTCACCGATCCTCACAGATTATTGAATAAGCACAGCTAGGCATTTCGCAACAAGGATGTTTATATGCTGGGCATTTCACTGTTCTGTCCCTAGGTGCTTCCTGTACTGTCCTGTGACCTTGAGTTATCATCTCATCTGCAGGATCCCCAGAGGAACCGTGTGTACCAGTGGCAAGGAGTGGAACTAGAGACTGGCCTTATACAGCTCTCCTTCCCCCTCACCTCTGAGCCCATCCAAGGCTCCTACAAAATAGTTGTGCAGAAGAGTACCATGTCCCATGTGGAGCACTCATTCAGTGTGGAGGAATATGGTAAGGAGAGGAGGTATGGGCTGCATGTGGGGCTGACTGAAATGCCTTTTACTGTGACCTCTTAATTTGGGACCTCCTGGGAATGGCATGGAGAAAGGAGGAGCTGAATACATAGGCAATGGGGTTCAGAGGGGCTGACCCAGAAGGTGCTGAGTATCAGAGGTGGTTGATCACTTTATGGCATTTCTGCGACCTGCCTGAGCTTGTGTTTGCTTACAGTGCTCTTGGGACTGTAGGGTCTGACAGGCTTCCTGTGCATGACTTGTGGCACCAATTTCAGCCAACATTGTTTTAGTCACTTTTCAGTCTGGCAGCTTGTTGCAAGTACACTAGATACAGAATAAGTGATACAATATTTTGGTGACCCTATTTTGCCTCTCTCCTCATCTGCATCAGTTTCGTTTCTCTACTTGTAGTGCTCTCTCTTTTTCCTCTTCTTCCTTGTCTCTGCGAAAGCTTAGAAAACATATTCGGTAGAAAATTTCAGTTTGAAGAAGAACACTCCACAAATGTTATAAGCAAATGCAAACCATCTGGTAGTAGAAGCTGAGCAAGGAGAAATGTGCTGCCCCAGGGAGCATTCTGTAATAAAACTTCTCAGGTGTTTGTAGATGTGTACTCTGGCTAGGCTGTGTGTGTTTGAGGAAGCTGCTTGGCCTGTGCTCTGCATTTCCAGGCTCCCCCCAGCTGTACATGGAGCCCAAATGACCCAGTGCATTGTTCAGAACCTGCTGTTTCTGGAATACACAGAGGCAGAACCAAATAAGGTGGTCACTAGTGCCTATGGGAGCTGGTTTATTTGGTTCAAAGTCAGGCATTGTGTCTAGTATGAACATGGTGAATAATCTGAACACAAACCAGGTTATAGGATTCAGCCTGGCATGGTGACAGACGGGCTCCTCCCACAATGATCAATGTGAATGCCCCCCCAAAATCAAAGATGTATGTCCCTTTCTTAGCCTCACACTAAACTAATTTTTCTTGTATTTGTTCTTTAGTCTTACTCCCATGAATCTCCCCTGCTGCTAATTCTCTTACAGCCTGGGGTTGAAACATTGAGCTTTACCTACCATCCTAGATGCAAATTTATTACTAAACTGTATAACCCAGGGTTACTTTCCAGTTTGTGGGTCTGGGTGTGCACCCTCCCTCCTCTTATCTCCTTGCACTGAGGATATGCTTCAGTCCAGTCCTGGGCTTCAGTAGTTGGGGGCTTGGGGTTCCAGGATGCAATATGGGAAGAGGGATGTAATTTAGTATTGAAGAGTAAAATATGCCTTTTGCTTGCCACCCTTTATGTTGGGCTTTATTGCTGCCTCATCCACCTGAAAATATAGACCTGAGAGTCCATGGCTAGATTCACTAGAACTGTCTGGACATGAAGGACAGTTTCACGTGCTACACATTAGTGAGCCTAACAGCAGCTTGGGATCTCCAGCACACTGAGAAACGGACAGACAATCAATGATTTGAGCTGTTTTGATGTGGTAAGTGACAGAGGTGGCGAATGTGCTACTCCAAGTCTTAGTTGCAACTTATGTATTGTGAAACATGGAACACAATACACAGGGCCAATGTGTGCTTCTGAATGGGCATATGTAAGGGATCTACATAGCTGTCTGTGTCAATGGGATCACATGAGCCTGTGCTACCAATGAGGGAAGGTAATGGCTGCACCCATCCTTAAATGCTCTTTAAAACCAAAACGGTGGTGAAGGCTGAAAAAACCTAGGAAAGGGGTAGCAAAGCTGTACTGAAGACCACAGAGAGGTGATGGTGTGTATTAGGATGATCCTGGGTCTGTGTCTGGGTTGCTGTGTAGTACACAGCTCTCCTTCACTCATCTCATATTAGACTTTCTGTCCCCCATCTAGTGCTGCCCAAGTATGAGGTCCTGGTGAAGCTGCCCAAGATGATCACTATTAAGGACATGGAGCTTCCAGTGTCCGTCTGCGGTCTGTGAGTCACAAAGCTGCAGTAAATCTCTCTTGCTCATCCATCACTCCTCCTTTCTGCTGAGGACCAAAAAAAAAAAAGAGCTGAGGAAGGCTTTCATGCTTTTCCCAGATATCTAGCACAGGCTTGTTCTACCCTAGCAAACCTGAGCCTGCTTCTTGGCCTGAACAGTCAAAGTGAAGGGTCTTCTTTATGTTCCTTAAAAAATGATGCCGAACCAATCTGCATCTCTCTCCTTCCAGTTTACTATACATTTTGTCCTTCTGTTTTTAGATTTCTTCAGTTAGAGCTTCTGTGCCAATCCTGAACTCTCAAATACTCAGAGATGTCCAATCAGACATCATTTAAAATGGTGGTGCAAACCCAGTGTTCTCATCTTTAACTCATAAATTGCTCCTCCTGAGCCCTTGGTTGCATTTCTACTTCTTCGTTGAATCCTCAGGAGTTTGTGACACAAGGATATGCCTGGCCAAAATAATTTTTTACAGATAATCTTTTGTCACATTCCTGCAGAGACCTCCCAGCTAGAACAGATTCGAATGGATGCTGGAATAATCTCACCATGGAAATGATGGAAACATAATTATTAGAATTGTTAAAATATCAGATTAGTCAGCCTTTAAGAGGAAATATTAGAAAGTCATCCACAGAGGTCTTCAAGGAGATGTGTCTTAGAGTGACTCTCTGACTGGTTGTCTCATCATCTAATATGTTGTTTGACACTTTGTGATTATAGTTACACCTATGAGAAACCTGTTCTTGGTTTGGTGACTGTCCAAGTGTGCCGGAAATTTTCCCATTCTGCTTCAAATTGTTACGGAAAAGAAGCAGAAGCTGTGTGTGAAGAATTCACTAGACAGGTGAGTCCCAAGGTCAAAATGTAGGGGTCTTTCTTATGAATAATTGGCAATGTTGTATAAAGGACGTCAAATCTGTGACTGTTGGGAGATAGTAGTACATCAGAGAAAGGGAAAAGCAGATGTTCTCAGAGGCAGGCATTCTTAAGAGGTGAGTCATTAAACTGGAAGCAGAACTAATGAAGAAAACCCCACAGCTGAAATCACTGAAATTACTGATGAAACTCCCATTAGCGGCTATGAGGTCCCTGCTATTGGTACCCAAACTGAGAAAAGAATCTCTGAAATAATTTTACAACTGTGGGAGGGACTAGGAGGGAGCAAAGAACAAAGAAGATGAGGAGAAAACAAGAAGGCAGTATTGTATATGTGTCAAACACAGGAGAAAGGAGAAAGGGCAACAAGGAAAAGAGTGAAGACAAACAGAATAAACAGGAAGAAAACCAGAACTCAGGTAGGAGGGAGTTGACAAAGAAACCAGTGTGTGCCTTGGAGAACTGTGCCAAGCACCACCTCACAGAACACAGAAACTGTGTGTATGAAACACTGGGAAACAGGCTGTAAACAAGTTCTGGTTTTGGAGACAACCCTAGAACATAAGGCTGGGGTTTCCTAAACAGAAGTTAAGCATGTTGGTTTTGGGGCATCCTGTCCCACAAGGCACCAAATTTGTTCACAGAATTCAAATTTTCTCTCCAATTCCCTGCTTAGGCAGACGCTCATGGGTGTGTTTCTGGTGTAGTAAGGACCAAGATATTTCAGCTCCAGCGCAGGGGATATGAGATGAGCATTGAGGTACAAGGCAAGATGACAGAAGATGGCACAGGTATGTATCACATGGAGACAGCAAAGTGATGGCAGGCCATAACAGAAGGGCCTGGCAAAGACAAGGAAGGTGGAGTGACACATCTAGAAATGGTGTCGTTCATTAATAATCCCTTTGTACTGTGCTCTCTCTCAGGAACAGAGATGACTGGAACAGGCTCCTGTGGAATCACATCCCTCATGAGCAAAATCAGCTTTGACCTGCTGGACTCTCAGTACAGACCAGGGATACCACTCTTTGGGAGGGTAGGGAACTTCTGAGACCCTGGACAATGAATGGCATAGCAAACTCACAAGTGCACAATCCCATCAGATGGAATATCAGCGTGCAGATGACATAGTCCACCTTCCTCTGCCTTTGCTCAGGCAGATGAATTACTGTCAGTTGGGGCACTCTAACAGACAAATGGTCCTGAACCTCCAAGCAGTCAGCCAAGTACAGAATAGAAAGCCCATTATTCTGACATATGAGAATAACATCAGGGAGCAGCAAGTGTGGGCTATTCCACAATGGAGCATTATCCAGGCGCAAAGGATAACCACAACACAGGTAGGCGTAGTGACCTCACGAACAAGGGCACAGTCCCACAGTACCCAACCAGACTGACCAGAGCAGGGGTGGTAACAGTAACAGGTTCCCCCAACAGCCCAGTGACCACCAGAGTAAGGGCTCAGCTCAACCAAGGAAATCTGGTTAACCAGATGGGAACAGCAGGAGAAAGGACTGGGCATACCTCCAACATAGCTTTAGTCAAGGAGTGGGGCAAGGCACAAGCCTAAACTTCAAGTTCATGAACCAAGAGGCAGATGATATGTGGTGGAGGCCCCAGATGAGGCTGGCCAGAGGAATTAAAACCTACTTAGGAACTTAGGGCTCTGACAGATAATTTCCCTGGGATGATCAGATTGATTTGCTGAGAATTTTCTCAGTTGCTGCTGCAGAAACATCAGGACTCACTCCACACATTTCCACATTCATGTTCTTCTCTGTTTCTAGTCTAAAACCTGAAGTTTGTTTTTGCTCTGGTAGGTGAAGCTGGTAGATGGCACTGATGCTCCAATTGCCAATGAAACCATCACGATTTCTGTGGATGGAGACAGATACAAAGGGAATTACACTACAGATGAGCAAGGTCAATCTTGGTTTTCCATAGACACTACTACCTTCACACAAGCCTCCCTGGAAATCCGAGTAAGTGGCAGAGAGAGGGCAGAGGGACTAGGGTAAGCCTCTGTCTTCCTGATCAACAGGGGAAGTATCTATCTAGGTGTTATTGGTCTTTCTGACAGTAAGAAAATAAAGCAAGTTTCTTGGCAGGTCATTTCTTTTCTGTGTCTCCTGTGCATGTTCTGTACTTTCTTCTAAGAATGGGAAATACAGAACATACCCAGAGTTTTTCTGTCGACTTTCATGTGACTTCTTACCTGGTTTTGGTCAGCTGTGAACTTTTTATTCTCCTTTATCAGGCTGATCATAAATCTGAACTGAATTGTTATGACAGCGACTGGATCACACCTTCATATGAGCCTGCCATCCGTAGAATAAGTCGGTTTTACTCCCCCAGTAAGAGCTTCCTCAAAATTGAGCCGAAGCCTGAGACATTAGGTTGTGGCTTCCCCACCGAGATCCAGGTGCACTATATCTTCACGCCAGAGGCCATAGGAGACCAAAAGAAAATTGTCATTTACTATTTGGTAAGAATTTTTAGTGCTTACTTTGATCTATGACCACAGAGAGCACTGTGGCACATATAACTTTACCTTCCACGTTGAGCAATGACAGCACTGCTATATGATCAGTCCTTAGCCACTAATGCTAGAGAGAATTTGAAACTGAAAGCATGACCTGTGGCCATGGGATTTAAACACATTTCCATAATGTTTCTCACGTTGTCTTCTGTGTGCAGACGTAGGTAGGGTGTACGTGTTTTATTAAGAACAGAAGATAGAAAAAACATTGATGTCTTGGGCACAGCCATCCAAAACTCTCATTTCATAATACCCCACTCCCATTCCAAATTTTGGCTCATATATTGTCACAGCTCAGAAACCAGCATCCCACAACAAGAAGATGTAAGATGAGGAAGAAAGCTGTCTCCTACTCAGTTTTGTCCTTTGGTAGTCATGCGACCACTGAAACTAAAGCAACATGTCTAACTACAGCAGCAGAAAAGCCCAATAAGCTTAGAGCTGAGGTCATATATCAGGCAATAGTGGAAAGTTTGGGATACCACAGTAACTGGAACAGACCATAACATGCTGGTACTGAGAACCGTGAATTGATTCATTTTGAGGGGCAGATAAGAGAGACTAGTTCAACTGTGACTGAACAATGATCTACCAGTTTCACTTGGGAAACAGGAGGAATCAGATGACTATTCAAATAGAACTTCTTTCCTCTTAAATTTGTTTTTTTGGGTTATCTCATTTAATGATACTAGCAGAAGAGACAAGAGTAGTCTTGGAGAGCTAGAAGAAATCATCAGAACAGACACTCCTGTTCTGATGGATTGTACAGAACATTGGGGAGGGGAATGACTTAGACTGAGATTATAAAATAGAGAATAGAAACCTGTGGTAGAGATGTCCATGTGCTTATTTTCAAGACCACTAACAATAAATTGAAGCACAAGATTTCTGTTTATGCCAGCAGCCTGGGAAATCTGGTCTTAAGTATATACATACAGCAGGCAACTGGTGAGGGAACTTTCATTTTTATTGGTGTGAGTCCCACAACTTGAAATTAAAATATAGTGCTATGGAATAGACATCCTACATAGAAAATAATTGTATAAAAGGTGGTTTTGATTATGAAAAATGAAACTTCTTCTAGAAATTAAGAAATTACAGTTAGCATTCAGGCTGTTACTTACTGCCTGACTTCAGGTACTTATTCAAGCTCTTATTATTTAAAGCCTATGCTCTTCTGTTCCAACTCACTTGTGAGTTATGAAACTAATCCTGATTCAGTTTTTCTCCAGACTGTTTCACAATGCAATTTAGAGTGGAATGAGGTGAACTTTTGATCCTCAGTCTGTTTCAAATTGTTAGAAATGTGCATATGACCCCAAAACTTATGTGTGCTCAGAGGCAAAGTGCATTTGAATCTGATGTATTCATGCAATATGTACAACAGGGAAGCCAGGTCTGAACAATGAGGAAACATTGGTTCTCCTAGAAGTGAATATTTCTGTCTCCAAAGACCCAGTAAATTCTGGTCTGGCACTTGCTTCCTGGTTTTGCTCACAGTTGGCAGTGCTGTTCATGCTCACAGTCTACAGTTAACCCAGTGAACGTTAATTCTCCTTCTCTTCAACACCAATAGCAACAATTACAGGAAGGTTTCTCTGTTACACAGGTGATGGCCAAGGGAGGCATTATATTAGCAGACACCTATGATCTGACTGTGAATCCTGGAGATGGTGAGCAGAACGATACATTTTTAGCATCTCTGATGATAATCTGGGGAACAGGGGGAATGCAGAGAAATTACTTTAATTCAAACATTTAATGTTTGAATTTAAATGCATTTTCAAAATTAAATCTTTTTAAATGAAGTGGCTTGGGTTAGTTTTGTTTTCTCTGAGTTCTGTCAGTAGGTATTTTTTGACCAGAAAATTTTATAAAATTTAAAAAAAATATGCATAATATTTTGGTCTTTTTTTCCTCGAACCAGCACTTTCTGCTGACCACTCCACTCTAGTGAGATTGTGGATGCCTACCAGTGTTGTGAGACTCATATGTACAGTGAGCAGGAAAAAGAAAACGTCTCCTTTTCTTTCTCTCTCTTACTTTCCTCTCTTACTTTTTTTGAGTATTATTGCTCCTTTATAAGCATGCAAACACACACATATCTATATTCTAACCAATACATTTAATTTTATTCATATAAATGTCCAAGGTTTACACATTTCAGTAACTGAAGCTGGCTATGATTCATCTTTAGAAGTCTTTCAACAAAGAGACCAGGGAGATATTATGCAAGTTTATGAGAAGGAGTTTCACTGCTGTGCATATAAAGAGTATATAGAAGTAAAAGGTCTTGGGTGCTGTATGATCATAGAAAGCTCTGCATCCTCACTAGTAGTAGGGATTAAACTAATACCCTGGCTCATAACAAGAGATCTTCTATCACCTTGTCCAGATTGTGACATGAATCTCAGGCCCAGATAGAGTCTTTCAACATAGAGGGGCATTTTCCACTGTGTTTGGAGCGATAGTTTGGTGTTCCGGGTAAATGCTTTCTTAGCAGTAACTTCACAAAGTTATTCTTTCAGTCACTCTGCAACCTTGACAGCTGCCACCCATTACAACAGTCCCTTATTTCTATGTTTTTTTCCCTCATCTCCTTTTTGTAGACTGCAGAAGATCTTGGAGCTTGAGGAAGAAAGGGGTTGGGAACATCAAGAAATTATGCCAGATGTTTACTGGGGAGAATGTAGAAGGCATGCTGAGGCCACACAAATTCATCTCATTTGGCTGTTAGATGATCACTGTTTGAATGCAGGTGTCTTTAGCAATAGCTATAGACCAGTCATGTATGAGTATTCCTGCCTCTAATAACTGAAAATATTCAGCATGAGTGAACTTGAGTTCTTTATCTGGTGAAGGCAAATACATAAACTGGAACTTTTTAAATGTTACTTAGCCTTTTTTCTCTCTGTTAGCTTATGGGACATTTCAGTTGACCTTCCCTGTTGAGGCAGCAATTGCTCCCCTAGCACGGATGCTTGTGTATGCCACTTCACCCAGTGGGGAAGTCATCGCCAGTTCATCAGATTTCCAGGTTGAAAGTTGCCTCCCCAATAAAGTGAGTATAAGTCAGGGTTTATGCAACCCATGTTTGTCTCCCAGCCAGTAGTTCAGCTATCTGTTCCAGAATGGAGGCAGAATTCACAAGAGGTTCATGAAACCATCTGACCAGATACTGAGTGCAGACTAGTGACTGAAACTCCAGAATCTGTTACAAAGCTATAACTATAAAAAGCGGACCAAGACAGAATAAGGAGAATCATTGGTCATTATTAATTACACTGGTCAAAGCTGAATGTATTAGAGTTGCTGCAAGGCACTATCAGAGCTTGGTTTACAGTGATAGATGCTTCAGTATAATAGCATGCAACAGCACCTTGAAAAGTGGCTGCTTTAACTTCCTTTTGGTGTTGTAGGTCAGATTGAGTTTTGTACCCAAGGAAGGTCTTCCTGCCTCCAGCACACGCCTTCAACTCCGTACCTCACCAAGGTCCCTGTGTGCCCTCCGTGCTGTAGACAAGAGCATTCTCCTCATGAAGCCTGAAGATGAGCTCTCTCCCAGCTGTGTAAGACTTGCTTATTTCTGGTAATTAGCAAGTACAAGAATCAACCTATTAATGCCACTAATGACATGGGGCCGTGTGTTTTTATAGCTGCATTCATTAAATTTGTTTTTTAGAAGCTGTTTTTTATCAATGAATTGTTAGGTAGTACCTGTGCTCCTGTAAGTGCTGACCTGCCACATTTTTCCCTGTTTTTTTGCATTTCCTCAGGTGTATGATCTTCTCCCACTGAAGGAAATCCGGGGTTATAGCTTCAAGGATTACTACCTGGAAGAAGACAATGTAAACCCTTGTGTGTCACTTGACAACATATTATTAAATGGATTTGTCTACATACCCATTTCTCCTGATGGTGAAGGTGATGCCTATGACATTCTCAAAGTAAGCTTCCAGCCTTTTGTTTTAATTTGTTATTCCTTTTTGGAATACAGTATCCTCTCCTCTTCCACCCCGGCCTGAAGGGTTTTTTTAATGAACTTTGCTTTGAGCTTGCTAACTTTTCTATGCCAGACAATAATCAGGCCCAAGCCCTGCATCTATGTAGACCACCATTGGTACCTGAGTGCTTTTCTGCACCATTAAAACTTCAAAGGGTCTCCTCATTGGTAGTAGAGACACCTGTGAATGGGCTCAAGTAAGGAAACAGCCCTGAGAGGTGATCTCTAGTACCATAATATTAGAAACCCTTCCTCAGTTGTGCATGTTCTCTGTCTGGTGTGGATAGGTCTTTATTAAAGTGCCAGTTACTTTGATAACCTGCAAACACACTCTAGAGGGTACTGCACAAGACTTTTTGTGTATCCTCAATCCAATGCTTTTCACATATGTAATTTTCACCCAGGCAGATGTCCCCAAGGTCACCTATAGCCTTAGTTTTCCATTTGATCATGCCAGGATTTAGCCTTAGGATGAGTATAACATGATAAAGCATCAACATCTGCGTTGAACCAGTCTATCTGTCATTTATATACAAGCGTTTGTTATTCTGATTGATTCTAGACATAAGTACATCTATTCTTGACATAGTAAAAGTAGTTTATTTTCCAAAGTGTGTTTAGATATTTTTTGTTCTTCTTTCTCTTTTTTTTTCTAGGAATTGGGCTTAAAAGTCTTCACTAGCAGCAAGATCCATAAGCCTGAAATCTGCCAGCATTATCCAGGACACATGATGGAAAGGAGTTACAGTGGTTCTAGTACCTGCTTCATTTTACCTCCCACACAACTACCTAAAATTTACCACCCTGCTTCTTTCCTTCCCTCTACTTCTTTGAATATTAATTACACCATGGAGATCAGATTCTGTTCAGATATGCTGACCTAATTCAGGATCACTTGCTTCTGGACTCAGTCCTGAGATATGAAACTGATCCACCTCTGCTTGCTTATCCCCAGCTACACAGATGTGCCTGGCTAGAACCGTGTGTGCTCAGTGATTCCTATGCCAGCCCCTACAGCAGGGATCCTGTAGGCACTGAAACAATCTGCTAACACAAAGTAGTGGCTTTTCTCCATCAGATCTGGGTCCAGCTATGGAAACCCAAAAAGGAGTCTCTACTTCTAGGTAGTCACATTCTGGCAATAACTAGAGGAACAATTAGGGCAAAACTGGGCCAAGACAAATAATAAGGTGGTATAATTCTGGGGGCAGTAGATATTTTACCACTGGTGGCTGAGAAATTTGGTTCTTTCCCAGCTCTTCCACTCACATGACTGTAAGAGGCTGGGTAGGTCGCTTCACTTCCTGCAGCTTCAGTGACTGTGAAGACAGAATAATTACATTACTTTTTCTTTTTTCTGAATAGTTCTGAGATTAAAAAGACTATATAAAACACTCTCATCTGTATCACTTCCAGTCAGTGTCTTTTCTGGTGCAGCATCCCAGTTCCTATCACCTTTGGTCTGGTGATAGCTTCTAGCCTTCTAGTCATAGCAGATCAGACCTTTGGTTTTGAAATGCAGGATCTGTCTTCAGAGCATGGCCTGAGACAGCTGGCTGCTTTGAGAAGATGTTAAGTCCTCTAAGGCTGATGTAAAGCATTTCATAAGGCACAACACTATGCAACACTGAGAAAACATCACCCTATTCTGGAACCATTCATTTGCTAATGGCCAGATAAAGACAGATATTTAGCTCAAAAGAATCTCACAGGGAGGAGGGGAGGGATAAATGTGGCTTCTGCTTCTGGTCCTCTATAAACATAATCAATTCTTCAACCAAATTTAAGAAACGATATGCAGCCATAATATCTGAAGGCATTAAGTTCCATGTTTGACTCTGTATTACAATAGAAATTTGCTCTCAGTCACGTCATCATACATGGCCCTTCTGGCATTGCTGGATTTGCTGGCAGTGGGGGAAGGATACTCAACCCCACCCAATCTCTGTAACAAGAGCAGCAACATTAGGAAAAATGCAATATTGAGAAGACAACAGAAATACACATTTGTTTCCAGTAGCCAAGTTTCAAAGCTGTTCTTTCAATTTTAAAACTTTAGCTAAGAATAAACTCTACCTGGAAGGAAAGTATCCTCTTGATTTAGAATGGAGTTTGACATGTCTTTTCCTTTCTTCCTGTCCTTGAACAAATTTGCTAGTCACTGCATTGCATCTGCTTGAAGATTCAGACTATGAAATAATGGAACAGAATCCTGTGGAGACCATCCGGAAGTACTTCCCTGAGACATGGATCTGGGACATAGTTTCAGTGAAGTAAGTGTTTATGGGAATGTAGAGTGTGGTCACTGGGGCAAAACCTCAGAAGATATTTAAACCTCAATGAAAGTATCAGTATTTCAGTGAGAGGAGTATTTCTAGTAGGCAGAGAGATTTTTCAAGGATGTTTTGGGAGGACATGCAAAAGCCAGTGCCCATGTCCCAACTTGTCAGGAGTTTGCTGTCAGCAAGATTTGTTCAGTAGGCTAAGATGTAGGTTATCACCAGAATATGACTGAAATCTCATTCTCTGTCCCTCACCAGCTCTGATGGAAATGCCGATCTAGATGTGACCATCCCTGACACCATCACTGAGTGGAAAGCCAATGCATTCTGCACTTCGGCAGACAAGGGCTTTGGCCTGTCCCCGACAGTGTCCCTCAGAGCCTTCCAGCCCTTCTTTGTAGAGCTCACCATGCCCTACTCTGTAGTGCGTGGTGAGACCTTCACACTAAAAGCCACTGTTTTCAACTACCTGACTGCCTGCATCAGGGTAAGAGACATTCACAACTTTGCTCAGTCTGACCACTTAGGAAGGACTACAATGGGACACTTTTAACATGTTTTCCCAAGCCAGATGGCTGATCTCTGACTATAATTTCATATAGGTGTACTTATGTAGGAATTCCTGGTGGATTTTATGAAATGGGAATATGTTTGTCCAACAAAGTTTTGAAAGCTGTGTTTGATTCAGAACTTAGAGCTGTGCTGCTGAGGCCGCTGGCCTTGTCTTCACAGATTTATGTCATTGTCCTGTAGAAATATGAAACGAGTTATCCACAGACCACTGTGTCATTGCACACCCACATGGAAACTCCAGGTTCACCAGCGTAGACACACCCATTTCCAGCCTTCAGTCTCATTTCATATAAACATCTCATAAAGTATCATGCCAGATTTGCTGCAATATGCAGACTTCCTGTGATGTATTGCATCTGCTGCCAAGACACTGAGCAGAGCTGTATAGCTTCACTACTCTAATCTGCATACTTTCACCAACTAAAAAGATGAGAGAATTTGGGAGGTGATTTTATAAATACAGATTTTCATTCTAAAAGGAATGAAGCTGAAACAAGGAGAGGCGCTGATCTAGCCATTCCAATGCGGTCTTATTTATTTCCCTTTCTTTCCTATTTTATTTGCTGTTTTCAGGTTCCTTATTGCACTCTCCATTGTTCCTTTACTAGCTTTTCCACTGCTAGTGTTTTACCTCTTCACCTAACTAATCATGAGAGGGGTCTCTAATTCAGCTAAATTTGTATTCATTGTTTTGCCTTTACTCACACAACTGATCCAGGCTCTCCATTTTCCCAGAATCTGTTTCCTTTCCAAAGATAGACATCCTGTCCTCTACACTTACCTCCCCAATCTCTTGCGATTGTACACATGTCAGTCTTTTCCCACTTTATCACCCAGTTCTTGCTCTGCAATACCCATAAGGGTCTCAGTCCAGCAGTATAACCAGCTCCACTACCCATTTCCATGTACTGCAGTGTCTCCAGTAACTCCAGCTTCTCTGCAATTCCAACCTTTATGACACCCCTCTGTACAATTGGCAGGTCGGTGTGTCTCTGGCTGAATCTACTCTTTTCCTGGCTATACCAGCAGAGGAACAGGAAGAATCCTATTGCATCTGCATGAATGAAAAGAAGACTGTGGCTTGGGCAGTCACACCAAGATCTCTAGGTAAGAGACCAGACAACAAGAAAATATTGGGCTCAGATATCTGTGGATAACGTCGGACCTTTGGTGTGAGGAGCTAGGTGACTTCAAACCTATCTGGAAGGATCTTGTCTATGCCATAAGTGAGAAGTCCAACCCTGAGGTTGAGACACTACACTGGGATGCAGTTTCCAGGTCCTAAACAAACTATTGAAGTGTTAATGGCCATTTTTTTTTTTAACATTTGAATAGAAATCACAAATTCCCTTAATGAATTCAAAGTGCTTAGACATTCCTCTTGTGGAGCTGAGAATGTCTTAGCTTAACCTGGCTGGGTCTGTTGTAGTTTAATCAAAGCTTGCTTTCTCTGAAGTGCCACAGAACAATACTGTTTGATTTACAAGACCACTCCACTGCTCTTTTTGCTGATGGACTAAGGAGGTGGCCTGGAAGGCTGCAGCTGGATCAAGATAAAAAACTGAGTGTAGTGCTCCTCTTAGAAAAGCTGCTCTGTAACGCACCAGAGAGTGCCCAGCACAAACACAAAACCACATTTCCTTGGTGCTGCCTGGCAGAGCTGGCTGACCCCTGTTTCCTCCAGGGCAGGTGGAGTTCTCGGTGAGCACTGAGGCCCTGCAGAACCAGCAGCCCTGTGGGAACGCCATTGTGGAGACCCCTGAGAAGGGACGGAAGGACACAGTCATCAGACAGCTGCTGGTGGAGGTATGTGGGCTCCTGAGTTTGGTGGCTCAGAAAAGTAATAATGATTTAATTCTTCACCACAACAGTTGTTGTGTGATAAAGGTTTTCTGTTTTAGCCATGATAGCAGAAACAATGGCTTGTGTGACTCTTATTCTGCACACTTTTATAAAAGAAGCATTGATAAATCCCACACAGGCCAACAGAGCCCATAACTCATAATGTTGCCATCTCATAGTAAAAGTGGAGCATTACATTACTTAGTGGGACAGAAACAATAAGGCAGGCAATAATGACAGTTTTTCCCAGCCACATCATCAAGGAGATAAATAGGAACTCACCTGTAATAAATCACAGGCACAGATTGTAAATGGAAGACTTGCCAGAAACCTTATGCATCTCCTCCAGCACATGGCCAGTACTCTGTAATACAGAATAGTCACCATAATGTACAAATATTTCCAAACAAAGTTGCCATCATTGTTTTGAATTGCTTTTATTATACTTCTAAGAATGTTCAAAACAGTATGAAATAACTTTTTATTTTTGCATTATTTTTTACATTTTTTTTCTTAAGCAGTGTTTTGCAATTATAAAATCACAGCTTTTCCCATGATAAAAAGCGAGTCATAAAATTAATCCACAGTATCCTCCCTGTGATATTAATAGCAAACAAAAAACACTAGCTTGTTGCATAGTGAAATCTATATAAGATTACATTGTAATATCGTATTTAACAAAATTAAGTCAAGAGTAATATATAACATTGTAACTCCTCCTTACATTGCAGGTATTCCAATTTTTAGTAAGGCAGAGATAGAATTCATGTAGTATATAACTTCAGAAAATGTTTTGCTAACCTGAATTCCATGATGGAACAACAATCATATCTGTTAGGCTTCTTTTAAAAAAAAAAAAATTGCTTACTTAAAAATTAATTTGATTACATAGGGCATTTCATGTATCAGGGCATGAAGAACTGTTTAACATTTCAGGAAAATGTCCCAATTTCATACATGCCTTTAGGAAAAAGACTGTTTCTTTTGTTCTTTAAAGATACTGGATGATCAGAACTGTAAAGTCTTTTCTCCCAGATGTCAGAGGAGTAAAAATAACTGAATGAGCATCAAAATTACTACATCAGGGTATCTGAGGGATTACTGGTCTTGTCCTGTTATTGTAATGAGGTAATTAATCTACAGCAAGCCCTGACTGGATAGAATCAGAGATTAGCATCCAAGGCAGAACAATTAATTAGCAGGGGTGGATACAGGGTAACTTGCTTGGGATGGAGGTGCATTGTCCCCAACACATGGATATCAATAGCCCCTGCAGTAGGCAGTGCATCCTGGGGAAAGAGAAGGGAGTCTGCAAAACCCCCTGGGTTTGCCCCTCTTGCCCCTCGGGAAACCAAGCCTTGCTGAGAGCTAGTTGGGAAACAGGATGTTTTCTCACCCAGGAATTTCTCATCTGGAAAGGAAAATCTTTCAAATAATTACAGTTTGTGTGTTTCAATTTCCTGTTGAACTGTTCAAAATCTAACAAAACAATGGATTTCTCATTTAGTTGCACTTCAGAATGACATACTGAAACAAAGAAGAAGGTGCCTTTTCAAACAGAAGCATTTAGCTGTGGCATATCATATCCTAAATGCTTTTTCTTTTTTCTTTTTTTCCCCCACACTTTTCGTCTTTCTCTTTTCATGCTGAAGAATGAGAGACTATGTATTTTAACTGTGTGAGAAAGTGAAGGTAATACCATTTTTTACGTGCTGGTAAAAAAATTCAGGTGGCAAAATCTGGGAACCAGGAATGAAGCAATACAAACTCTACTATTGGCAGGTCAAAAAAATTGATGTGGGGATTTCACTGAAATAAACTCTGACAAAACATGTTTTCTAGTAAATATTTGATTCCTGAGTTTTATGCAGAATGTTTTCAACCAGCTCAACAGAAAATAGGGCTTCTTTTCTGGCTTCAAAAGCTGGGCTAAAGGTTTTCGAAACAAAAGGATACAATCACCAGTTGGCTGTGGCATGTATTTAAATTTTGGGAATCATAATATGTCACTTGTGGGTGCATTGGAGTGCTCTAATTGCCCCATGTCAAAGTTCTTCCATATATATCCTACCGGTGTCCAAGGCACTCATCCATCATCTCGATCTGAAGCATTCTCCTAGACATAGACCAGGTGGGTAGCACCTTGGAAGAAGACAGAGCCCTGTGGCTTTATTAACACTGTCAGTAACATCATCTTGCATGTTATTTGCATCATAATCTGTGAAGCTGCAAAGTCTCTCTGAGTCATAAGAAATTAAAGGACATATATTAAATTTCATGTTTGTAATTAGCCAGTATGTTATAGTGCTCAATTTATCCTCGGTTTATAGCATAAACGAAAAACTTTGTAAGCAATTTCTAAAGACTTTTCAGTATAATAAAGCTATTACCACAGGAGAGTTTATGAGTATTTAATTTTCTTAGAGTCCTTTTTAGTTTCCCTCTTAATATTTCTTCTTTTTCTATTTTTGTTGTTTCTCATTTTTGCTTTTTTTTTTCTTGCCTTTTCTCCCAAGCTGGAAGGAACTGAGGAGGAAACTACATACAACTCTGTGCTCTGTGCATCTGGTAAGTGTCTCTCCCTTTCTGGGTATTTCTTTACCAAGATAAAGACCAAAGTAAGAAGACAAGGTCTGCGAATGCTCCCCTCTGAGAAGAAAGGTTTAAGGATCTGATAAAACTGAACAAACTAGCTGTATGTCCAACTGGTAGTGAAGCTAATTCTTCCTAAAGGAGCAACACTGAGGCTGTAATAGTCCCTGCAATTACAGAGGCAGAAGCACATCTTTTAGGAACTGAGGCTCCCCAGTTCCCTGTAGGGGGAGAATATCTGGGATTTAACAGGGTTATCTCTAATGTCTTTCATTCAGTGGGTGTAAAATCACAAACTGGACCCTGCAGTAAGCCAGGTCTGCCCACCAAAGCAGAAGACGACAGAAAAATAGACTGGAAAGTGTATTTGTCAGTCAAGGCCAGCTGACAGAGCCATGTAGATGTACATGACAGTCTGTGTGGAAGGGTATTGCAGGCTGAATGCAGAATTTGGAGGATGGGAAGCTTCCACAACAAAATTACAGATGAATGGATTTGTTGAAGGCAAGAAACCCCTGTTCAGGGCATGGTGTCTCACTCTCTTAGCTGCTGCCAGGGCATGTAGATGTATCTGGAATTGTAACAAAGCTGATCTATTTTTTATCCCAGAAAAGTCATTGTCAGAGCTAGTCTCCCTGGTTCTCCCAGAGACTGTGGTGGATGGCTCGGCCAGAGCATATTTCTCAGTGCTAGGTAAGTGAAACATCCTTAAAAAGTGTCATGTGCCATTTGGCAACATTGCCATGTTTCTTCAGGCTGTCCTCAGTCTACTGGCAAGCCTGAACTGTGCTAATTTACGCTGGAAATTGTCCCATTCCCCAGGTGACATCATGGGCACTGCCATGCAGAACCTGCACCAGCTCCTCCAGATGCCATTTGGCTGTGGGGAGCAGAACATGGTCCTGTTTGCACCCAACATCTACGTCCTGGACTATCTGAACAAGACAGGGCAGCTGAGTGAAGAGGTCAAATCCAAGGCCATCGGATACTTAGTGAGCGGTGAGCTGCTCCTTCCTTCCCTTGGCAATTGGATAAGGACACTTTTGGCCACTGGCACTGGCATGTATGAGCTGAAGGAGGTTGCCCTGGTGCATTTTCTGGAAGGGAACACAAGGTCAGGTCAGGTCTATATAACACAATATCTGTAAGAGAGAAAATCCTGCACTCAGGTGGACGTGCAGGATGAGGAAGGACAGCACCCAAACAGAAACATAGAGGAAGTCCAGAACTGAAAATAACTCAGAGTTCTCTCCATAAGAAAAGGAATATATGAAATACATAAATCAGGCTGCTTGATCATGGCAGCTGCTTATGTAAATCTCAGACCCTCCTTAGGATTAAGATTTAGAAAGTGTCACTCACCTTAGAGTAGGCCAGAATTTTAACACACTAGCTGGGACATGTTGGCAGACATAACACTGGTACATATAGACATGGTGGGTATCTGCTGACTGACAAGGGACTGGTTTTACTCAGCTATTTCACAGAAAAATTGCGCTTCTTCCAATAAAAATTATTCAATTTTTCTGCATCCCTATCCTACGTGGGGCTCATCTTTGTATTCAGGTCTCCTCTGGGAACCGTTTTCCCAATTCTCTCGAGGCTGGGATACATTTACCTCTCCTCATCAAGACTAGGGCACAGAACAGCAATGACCACAGATACTCAGTTTCCAGGTGTTTTAGCAGAGAGGAAGAGCACAAGGATGAAGGTAGTGGAGCGTGGGTTTTCCTGAACCTCCATTATAACACTGAGCAGCGTAGCTCACGCTTGTGGTGTAAGAAGGGGGACACTGTGTCCCACGTCTGCTACATTTCTGTTGCATGGCTTCTTGTGATAACTAAAGTATTCTTCCACTCAATTTCAGGGTATCAAAGGCAATTGAACTACAAACACTGGGATGGTTCTTATAGCACCTTTGGGCCCCGTTATGGGCAAGTTGGGAATACCTGGTAAGACTTCCATACCACTAGCTTTTCATTTCTGCTTTTCATGCCCTCTCTTTCCTCAGTATTCTCTTGTGCTTGGTCACTGTGGAGGTTAAAATGGCGGTGGAGATGAAATTATAATCATGACGTCATAAGATAATCATGTTGGATAATAGAACAGGGAAGGATGCTAAGGGAGATGCCTTTTAGGTTTGCAAAGCTGCATGGATAGCTACTTACCTCCCCTGACACCCTTCTTCAACTGAGGGTGACCTGCAGGATGCCGTAGATAATTCTTGTTTGCAGAAGATGCTGATGAATCCCCAGAGTGTCGTTGCCCACCTACTCGCAGCCCTCAGGACTGTCAACGTCAGGCTTCCTTCAGCATTTGTCCCTATCTCACCAAGTCACTAAATGAGCTCACAGTTTCCTACCAGCCCACTGTGATCAAGTCCTGTAGCCTCTACTGCTTTCCTCCAGAACAGTGATGCCCACATGGGCCCTATGGCCTATGATGGATACAGTGCCTGCTCAGGATGTCTCAGTTCCCTCTGTCACTTTCAGGCTCACGGCCTTTGTCCTCAAGTCCTTTGCCCAGGCCCAGACTCACATCTTCATAGATGAGAAGCACATCCAGGATGCTTTGGTCTGGCTGACCCAAAAGCAGAAGGAGAACGGCTGTTTCCGCAGTTCTGGGACACTCCTGAACAATGCTATGAAGGTAACGTGTCTGCCTGGTCAGCTCCACATGGGCTTTGTCGGGCTGGAACTTGACCATAAGTTACTCTGGGACCAACAGAGCTATTTCAGCACTTGAGGGCTCGGGAAGAGGGGGCGTTAAAAATGCAAGCTATCACAGAAGCAGGAAGAAGCCAACAGCAGCTTCTGAAGGACTTGCCATGAGAAGGAGGCTAGGAAGAATTTGTCCCTACAGGATGTAGATATGTAGCACAGGGAGAAGCCAGTGGTGCTGTATGGGATCAACATCTACTTTTGTGTTCTCTGCAGGGTGGCGTGAATGACGAAATCACACTGACAGCCTACATCACTATTGCATTGCTGGAGATTCCTCTGCCTGTAACCGTATGTGTCTGCAGCCCAACCTGAGCCACATATGGTACTAACCTGCCATACTACTGGCTCCCTAGATTATCAAGTCCATTACCTTTTGAAAGAAGAAATCCTGTCTGAATATTCTTTTCATTCAAATCTAGACTGGAATAACACTTTTCCTCCATTTTCCTCCCCTGTCCAATCCTGTCTCCCATACACACATTTCACTTAACCTTTTTCTGAGTTCTTTTGTGGAGAATCACGTTTTTCCTCCTTTAAAAGCATGGATTAAGAGTGAGTTAAATAATATTTAACTCTCTGAAATGAGTCAAATAATAGGTTTTCTACACCCGCAGAACTCTCCTTTTTTTTGTTGGAATAGTACACTACTGTTGGACCACTTCTATGGACCTATTGTGTTGACACAACAGCACAGGTTCATGAAAACAAAGGTGGCACATGCAGGGATTCATTCACAATGTCTCTTCCACTTCTGGATTCTTTTATGGGAAATCCCCATCCTTAATGCTTGGGGAACAGGTTATACATATAGGAATACAATATACGGTAGCCTGAGGCCTATTTAAAAGCAATGTGGGTTTGGCTATTCTGATCCCTGAATCTGTGATCCCCTTGCTGTGAGAAAAGCCTCTTGTTCAGACACCCACTGAAGACAAAGTGCAAAGCCACTGAGAACTAATTGTTTTCCTTCTAGACCATTGATTAAGCTGTACATGTGCTGTTAGGCATCAGATCATGGCATGCCCCCCACTGCAGTGGCATTGCTTCCATATTATAGCAATTTCTCCAT